CATTCACAATACACGATCTAGTCAAGGTGCGTCGTTGACCTCGCAGTGTTGGATCGTGAATTCTCTTTCTGTGGTGCTCTTCTTTTTTGAAATCTCTGTAAATGAAAACTAAAGGGGTTGAATTGACTTTCCGAATTCATGCTGTTACCTTTTAATTCAATAACTTCATAACGTGCAAGAGTTACAGCCTATTTTAGGTACAAATATCTATGGCTGTAACGTCCGCAACAAAACCTTGTAACGTCCGCAACGCCATAAAAGTGGCAATATCTCAAAAAAATCATATAAATTTTATTTGAGATGGATCCTTCTTTGAAAAGTAAACTCAATGAGGCGTTACCAGGGCTATTCAGAATTTAGATGAATTAAATAGTTTCTATAAAAATTGAAGTCAAAGTAAGGTCCTCAAAAAAGAGAGGCTTTTTTTGTAACGTCCGCAACGCCCTTCTTTGACCTGTATCTTGCATTGTACATAATGGTTTTCAACAAAAATTTGCAGCATGGTAGAGAGCAAGGTACATTACTCAGTCTTCGAAAAATGTTCAATTTTGTGGGCTGAGCAGACCAACTTATGGACAGTTTAAGGCATAGAATTCAACGTCCGCAACTAAAATAATTCCCCATAAGTAGATTGAAGCCGGGAGTTTTTTGCATCGCATCATTATTCAGTTTCATCGGACAATGTATTTCATCACACTAAACAATCGCATTTTTTTTCTTCCTTACTTTTCCTGTCCTGTTGAATGAAAGATCCCTCGCCTACAGAATTAAAAAGGGTCAAATAAAATGCATGCCTATGCCAAGGGCCTAGGAAGACATTAAAAAATGTGGAGAGAATCATACTTTTCAGCATGTCACGCACCAAGTTGACAGATAAAGAGAATCGAATAACTCTGCTGTTACGTAGTGTATACACTATTCAATATCGATTTTCCGGGTCCCTTTGATTCGTGGACGCGACGATGGAGTGGATTGAAAAAAAAAAAAATTTGCTCTGTATTTTCGAAAAGAATTTGCGAGTGCAAAATTGTTGATGTTTACCTTTTCACCTTGTTTCCCTGTAAAATAGGATGCGGATCCAGCACTTCTTTACCACCTTCCTATCAACTTTAGAGAGTGTGACGAAAAGGAAGTGCAGCTATACAATAAAATATTAAAACGTCACGCGTGTGATGATGTAAACTGGGTTAAAGATATAAAGGTAATCGAAGATTGAACATTTTTTATGAATAAATTGTCACTCTCCACGGAAAAAGATGCCTTAATCCAGATAATCTCAGAGCTTATTTTTCAATTCTTATTTTTTAAAGTTAGGAGTTAGAACGATTAATGTTTCTTTCATAGTGCTCACATTCTTCCTTTTCCGCCTGATGTGAATTAATTAGAACTATTGAATAGAACTATTAATATTCTAATTGAAATAGAATAGTCTTGAATATTAAAGTCGAATTAAATAGGACTGTTAATATTTTAAAAAAATGTAATAATCTCAGTTATCAAAAATAAATAGTTATTATGTTACAAACATTTTCGAAAAGTTTCATTTTTTTTCTTTTTTCTTATTTTTTTCTTTATTCTCTTTTTTTTAAAGTCAGCGATTCTTCAAAGATTCTTCAAGAAAAATGAAGAAAGACAATTTTAAAAAAGGTGGATTGTATTACATATTTTTAAAAAAGATTATAAGTTAATATAAGACGGGAAAGAAAAAAATATAAACATAAAAAAGTGACGACAGTAACACGCGTATTTCTGTTTTGCTTCAAATTCATCTTTTCGGGTTCAAAAAAACTTAACTCATCAGGTCTCACGCATATTCACTATCACAATAATGGTGAGAGCCTAAGTCAATGACTTATATAATGTAAATTTGCCCGACGGAGACATAAGCCCCAATGGCTAAGTAGGTAAGGTGTTAGATTCGTAAACTGTAGGTCCCAGGTTCCAATCCCGATAGGTAGGCCAAAATCATGGCATGTGGAGTTTTTGACACTTGCAGGAATGCAATTGAATAATTTTTTTCATCAAAAATTCGATAAATTTATCCATTTTTTGCAATTAATGATTCATAATAAAACATATGGTATGGGTGCAGTGTGCATATCTCGATGTGACTATTCACTAAATTTAAAACAACAATTGGCTAGAAGTAAGTAAACGCGCCTGGGAAAAACCTATTCCGGCCAGACGCTGGGCCGTTTACTAATTTTAAGCAAACCGTCAGCCTGTAACCAGAAAATGCGCTCAGTCACGCAACCGTTTCCTGATTTTAAGTAAACGGCTTAGATCAAGATCACAGGTGCTCCTTTTAAACCGAAGGTGATTACTTAATTTCAGTAAATATTTTCGCGTCTCGGAAGTTACTATTTTTAAGTAAACGTGTTCTCACTCCAAATACACGTGGAGTGCTAGTTTGAGGTAACGCGTGTAGGTACTTGATTCAATCGAACTCTGTTGGAATAAACATCCGTCACTTGCCGATCCTTTTTGAGTCAACGGCTACTTGGTCCAAGGCGGCTCCGCTTTATATGTATGCAGTATACTTTTTTTTCAGTGAAGGTTTCATCTAGGCTACAAACGAATGGAATCCCCGGATATCAGAAAGGGGCCAAAAAAGGCCCTTTTTGGGAGGCTCTTTAACTTTCGGTGATAACTGAGCCAGCATGATATTTTTGCTGAAAAATGAGATTGAGCACTGCCAAAATCGACCTTTCAAGAGTATTAGGACTTCACAAAACATGCTGGGGTCTGAAAATACCCAACTTCCTTTTTTCGATAAAACCGTGGCGCCAAGCGCAAAAGTTATTTGATTCAACGAACGCACATGTAAAACTTAATGCAACCGAAAACCGTGTAAATCAATGGAAAGAACGTAGAAAATACCTACATGAATATCTTTGTAACTTTTTCCTACGTTGCCAAAGAGCCGTATGCAAAAACGACATTTTTCGCCCCCCCCCACTAAAACGTATTCAAACTTTGTCTATCAGTTCCTAATACTTAATCGCTTCTTTTCCCAAATTTTCAGATCCCCAAAAAATTTGGGGGGGGCGCAAGGGGGGGGTGGAAGTCAAAACCTGTGAACCTCGATATCTTTCGAACGAAACAAGATATTGAGGCTCGGTTTGGACGAAAAATCGTCTAAAATTGCATACTTACTTTAAGATTCTAGAGGTCAAAATCCCAAAATTACATTTTTAACTTAACTTATGTGCTTTTTTCAGTTTTTGAGAAAAACAATTTCTTTTAAACACACTAAAGTGAAAAAGCACAATTTTGTATTTGAATCAAAACCAGTTTTTTTAAATTGCTCGTCTTTTTCCGCATCCAACGAGTGGTCTTTCAAGCTGGGGAACCGAACGGTTCCGGAGTTATGATCGATTGAAGTTTCCGCTCAACGCGCGCCGACCAATTTTCGTGCGCAAAAAAGTCGGATTTGACTGTTATTAAATCAGATTGAATGTTCAAATTGAGGGAAATGCATTATTAGGGATTCTTGAGGGTCGCTGAGTTCAGAAATTACAGATACTCCCAAAAAATTCACGTCTTTAAAATTACAGCTCCGTAGCGCTATTTTAGAGGCCCACTGAGCGCCGACCGGCCGCTCAGTGGTCCTGTACGGAGCTGTAATTTTAAAAACGTGAATTTTTTGGAAGTATCTGTAATTTCTGAACTCAGCGACCCTCAAGAGTCCCTAATAATGCATTTTGCTCAATTTGAACATTCAATCTGATTTAATGACAGTCAAATCCGACTTTTTTGCGCGCGAAAATCGGTCGGCGCGCGTTGAGCGGAAACTTCAATCGATCATAACTCCGGAACCGTTCGGTTCTCCACCTTACATGACCACTCGTTGGATGCGGAAAAAGACGAGCAATTTAAAAAACTGGTTTTGATTCAAATACAAAATTGTGCTTTTTCAGTTTAGTGTGTTTAAAAGAAATTGTTTTTCCTCAAAAACTGAAAAAAGCACATAAGTTAGGTTAAAAATGTAATTTTGGGATTTTGACCTCTAGAATCTTAAATATGCAATTTTAGACGATTTTTCGTCCGAACCGAGCCTCAATATCTTGTTTCGTTCGAAAGATATCGAGGTTCACAGGTTTTGACTTCCACCCCCCCTTGCGCCCCCCTCCCAAAAAAAAAAATTTTTGGGGATCTGAAAATTTGGGAAAAGAAGCGATCAAGTATTAGGAACAGACGAAGTTTGAATAAGTTTTAGTGGGGAAGGCGAAAAATGTCGTTTTTGCATACGGCTCTTTTCGAGCAGGTGTCCTAAAACGCCTAAAATGCCAAAAATTAGATTATAATTATTACGTCGTAGGTTCTGGGAAGTATGTTATGAATTTCATGTGGAATTGTGGGACATTGTGCCCATGTAGTCTCTGTTCCTTGGTCTCTAGCGTGTAACAGGCATCTTGAAAACCAATGAATATTTTGAGGATACAGTAATAAACTGGTGAGACAGAGAGGAGGATGAGGAAGAAGCACTTTGGGCATGTACCATTCTCTTGGTCCATGCTTTGGGGTTCCGTTGTGTCACGTTCCTTTGATGAAACATTACATTTTCGGTGAGTATCATTGTTATTTTCCTTGTTGGATATGTTATTTGTGGGACCTAAAACAAAAGTAAACATTCACTTTCTAGAACCTTGGGTGGGGATTTGAATTTTTACGTTGCAGAAAAATTTGAATTTCACAGTTAAAAACGTGCAATTCTGAGTGAAAGGTACATTTGGAGAAAGGACATCATTTTTGGTACAAAAATTAACTAATACGCTCTGTCTCTTATAATGTGCGTGATAAAAGAGTATTTATCTACCATCGGAATATCTGATTTTCGGGTCCATCTCGACAAAACTCATTCTTCTGAAATATTTCCTTCGCACATTGATGTCACATTTCTCTCGCGTGGTTCGAAGAAGAACTCCCAATAACATTGGTTCTTTCATTCATCACACGGTTATAGAGCACTTCCTACTTTTTTTAAAAAATTTACTCAGGTGTGTACTGTCCTTGGAAATTGACGGAAGATGGACAAGACATTTTGTATCAAACCAATTTTCTGGCACACTTTTTATTCACCATGCTCCTCCTTCCAAGAATAATCAGTGCTGCTCCTGCGAGAATAATCAACGTCAGTTCTCTGTTGTATACATGGGGTAAGAATATCAGTCTCTTTAATAATTTCAACGGCTGTAACGCACGTTTCCCATATTGAGGCATTGTATGTATCTCTCCATCTTCATATTGACTGAGCTAAACTGTTTCTTTGAACGGATCGCTCTGACACTAACATGAATCACCAGCCTAACGGTACTCAAAAGATTCTTATGATTAAAGTCATGGTGTAGAGTATTCAGACTGATATTAACTATGCTTTATGAAAGAAAGAAGTCAGTCTAATCAGTCTGAGTGTAGATCATACGTAGACTTTTTTGAAATAAGCTAAATGGATTCTCTATTTTACCTAACTTTAATATTTCCGTTCGAATAATCTCAAGAAATGCATGTTTTGAGTTGTACTTCGCAAGTAGGTATGTTTCTTAAAAATGCATGTGTTGGGTCAATTTTTTTTCAGCAGGAAAAAAACCGGAGCAGGCAGAATTATAGCAGAATCTATGTTTTATGTCACATCAGTCTCTCTGTCATTTTACAGAGGTTTTATGGAGAAATGCCCTAGCTACAGCAGTATAAATCTTATAAATATTCTACCAATACACAACGAATTCGTTGTGCACAACACCCCCCCCCCNCCCCGGTTGCCTTCCGTAATTTATGGATGGCCCACAAAATCAAAAAAGAAAAAGACAGAGGACCCTTCTGGGAATCCGTCTACAGTAAGTGCTCCATGCCAGCCCTGTTAAAATGATCAGTTGACGGTGTATCAGTTCGTCAACGGTGTTTTGGCACGGAGCATCAGTAGACATTAATTGAGATCGGGTCAGTTGATGGCTTCAACTGATTTGATCAAATAAGTGGTAAATCTTTGAACGGCCTTAGAATTTCAAATTATCAGCATTAGGTACTCGAGATTTTAAAACCATGAAATCATGCATTTAGGTACCTGCTGTAGAAAAAAATTGAATGGAAACGGGATTAAAATAATTTAAATATCTCTATTGATGTAGTGGCCCTGAAGTCTAAATGCCTTGATGAAGTGGCCTAGTGGGCCTTGTCAAACATGCCAACCAGATCGTCCTGTCAAAATGCATACGTAGCCTCATTGGACTAAGTTTAAACTTGTAATTGACGTCTATTGAATTTCTGTTTGGATCAGTTGATGTTCAACAGATGTCAGTTCATGCTAAACCGACATCAATTGAACCTCAAGTGATACATAGCAAATTTTAACTGTTACCTATTGAGGCTCAACATATATCTATTGATTATCATCTGGTATCAGTTCCACCTCTACTAGTACCAATTGACACTCATCAAATATCTGTAGACTTTCAACTGGTATCAGTTGGTATCAGTTCAACCTCTTCTGGTACCAACTGCTAGATACTCATCAGATATCTGTCGACTTTCAACTGATATCAGTTGGTAACAGTCGATATCAGTTAAAATCAATTAATATCAGTTCATTTTCTCTACTGATCATAACTGATCTCAACTGATCATTTTTAACAGGGTATTTCTGAAAAAGGAGTGCCTCTTCCCATGACCATAGCCTAATGTCAGGTTACGCTTGACCTTTTCTCCTCTATCGTCAGCTGCATGCCATAGAGAAAAAAAAGGAGGTGTTTGCATTACGGACATCTTGGAATTTTTTTGATGATTTGATTACGTAGGTCGGTACAGCGACGTTTATCCTGTCGATTTTCTTGGAAATGGTGTAATTTAAGGAAAAAAGTCATTCTATAAAAAGTGCTTGAAATTATGTAATGAGTTGATTTAAGTAAAAAAATCGGACATTATGGTCCGTCTTTCATATTTCGAATTCCAGATTTCTCTGGCCAGGTTGTATCGACCTACGTCACAGGCTAAACAAACCTCAAGATGCAAACACCTCCTTTTTTTTCTCTATGGCTGCATGCATCTGGTAAGAGGGGGTAAAAGGCCGCACCCCAGTTTTTTTCCGAGGATTGTTTAGATTGCCACCGGGACCGTGTCAGTTATGATGGTAGTGGTGGTGTTGTTATATTGACGAAGTTTCGGACCGAACGGACGCGTTCCCTCGAAAATATGAGGAGAGTTAATTTTTTGCAAAAAAAAATCGATTTTTCCCGGTTTATTTTGGTCAATTTCAAGTTTCGTAGTTGATAGAAAAAGGGCATAATGCAATTCAAACAATAAGGATGGTTCATCCCACAGTCACTTTTACGCTGATGGCGGGATGGCTTGTATCTTTCCGATGCCGCAATCACACGCTGAATGTGGGAGCTGAATGTAGCTTAAATGTGGAAGTCATCGGCCCGATGCCTGAATTTTGCGCGTGACGCGCAAAATTCAGCAACGATTCTCAGCAACCGTCGGACCAATTTTGAATTTGTTCAAACTATTCAAGTAGATTTGATACACATCTGGATGTAAATAACTCGAATTTGCTAAACAGCCGTTGGGCAATGACTGTTGACCCCCACATTCAGCTGCTAAATTCAGCGTGTGATTGCGGCACGACTGGCGACTTGGACAGTCAACCGTTGGAATTCGGCGGTTAACCCCGAATCTCCATCGGGACGTTTTCATATAAACAACAAAGATGGCGGCGCAATGTGCGCGGGTTTTTAAATTTGCTAGCGAGATTCACCCGTTGAACGGACTTGAGGCAATCACGTACTTATTAAACATTTAAATATTTTTATCATCAAGTTAATTTTAATGCCTGATCGTTGAGTGAAGAACGTTCTCTCCCGTTGAGAAAAACGCTGCAGTGCCGCCGTTTATCATTGCATTCTAGGAGAGAAAAAATAGCAGGCAGAATAAGTCTTCAGCAACCGTCCTCAGCATCCATTTCTTCTTTTCAAAGATTTTTTGTCATCATCACTCATCAGAGACCTGATCTTAAAAATGACTCTTTGACTCTTCGTTACCCACCATGAACACGTCTTTATATAGGTTGGTTTAAATCCAACCAACACACGCTATAATTATTCCACCTAAAATATGTTCAATTGTTTAAATATACACATTTACGAGATGCTGGTCGATGTTCATATTCCAGGAGATAAAGAGACCAATACTGACATGGCCCCTAGAAAGAAATCATACAGCACGTTTTACGCGTATGCAAGAAGTAAGCTAGCTGTTATACTCTTTACGAAGAAGCTCTCTGAAAAGCTGAGAGGTTAGTATTTCTCATTTTATATTTAGAAACAAACCCTTTGAACTCTTTTTTCATGTTTTAAATTTTTTTTATTTTTTTTTTATTAAACAAAACTAGAATTGGATGCAATTAAAAATACAGCCGAAAATGGGAGAGTAAGGTTATGTCCCACCCCTCAGTTAAAAAAGCAAGGAAAAGCCAGCACCTATGCGCTGAAAGTGTACAAAGTATTCCTGACCATTATTGATCAGTATTTTTTAATATGAAAAGATATAAAGTTTTAAAAGCCAACTTTATAAGCATCATGCATACCTATACATGAAAGTAATTTGCTTTGTTTTAATGCAAAGTTGGAGAGTTGGAAAAACTACGGAAACCTTTCGATAAATTTGGGTTCGTTAGTACGGGGTGGTGGGGCCGATAGGCGTAACAATCGTGCGCTTTTGGAAGAAAGCATGAACATTTCAGGGATTCATCTCTACCCTACAGACATTCGATTTAGACATAGACCCCAAAAATCTGACAGGGGGCCCCCCAACTTTTGAATTTTGAATAACTAATGCACGGCTAATGTTAGCGTAATTTTCTTTTTCAGCAAAACGATGGGAAATTTTATTAGGAACAGCGATGGTTGCATGAATTTTTCTGTGGGATCGATATTTAAGGTGTGAAACGGGAAAAAACCGTCGGGGGACGGGGAGCCGGCCGTTCTGAGGTAGATCCGCGCGCTGCGCTGCCTGCCCGGGACGCGCGCGGCGGCGCAGCACGGTATTACCGACGAAATAGCCGCTTGTCTGGTTTAATCTCAACGATGCGTAGTTTTAAAAGTATTATGCATGTATCGTACTACCTATATAAGGCCTTAAAATAGGGCTTAACTTTTGCAGGTAACATATGTATACAAGCGAGCGCATGGTAACAGAGGGAGAAGGGACTAAGTGCTGGAATTCCGGATTGTTTTGTTGTATGGGATTGTCAAGTTTTATTAAAGCATCCGAGATAACTGTATTAGACATAGGTTGAACGGAATAACATCTGACGCACAGTTGTCTCGCGAAGGGGGGGGGGCTAAAATCACAAATCCTATTTGTATACCACGATGACCTGAAAAATGATTTTTTAAAGTATTTGTTTTTTCCTCTTTTTCTCGGTGCTGCGCCACCAGAATGGTATCTAAATATGTTTACAGCCCCTAAATTTCCGGCTCCCAGAGAGACGGCTTCCAGACAGATTTTTAAGACAGGGAACCTAATTTTGTAGAAAAAAATAAGTATACATAATAACATGTTTATTCTCCTTTCTTTAAGGAACAGTTTGGTACAGCATTGCTACGTTTAGACATTTTTTAAGATGGCCAAAACCACCTTCAAAACTTGCTCCAAAAAAACGCCAAAAGAATCTTGAGAATAGCTTGATAGGGATAAAAGACCCCCAAAAAGCCTTTGTTGAACTGCTTCTTCTACAGTACAAAGAATATTATTAAGTAATAATTAGCCGCCAATATCCGTTAATCCGTATAAACGGTCCATTTGAGTGATAGAAAGTCGCGCCTACTGGGAACCTATCCTGCTCTTATGCCATACCTATCAATTAAATCGCGCATCATACGAAATCCTACAATCTCGGTAATTTTGCAACTGATTACTGATTACTGATTTTGACTGATTTGTTGATATTTTGACGAGCGAAATTAACCTTTTGATAATCTCCAAAGCTAATTCGACCAGTGTTATACTGTACGATAAGGTTTAAGGTGTACGTTTTGTGCATTGCATATTCTGCAAGTCCCGTCCCTTGACAGTTGTCTCTGACATCATCATCATCATCATTAATATAAACTTCGAAGGATTCAGACTTTCAGCGATTCTACCTTTTTCTATTTCACTCGAGGGGAAGTGTCCCCTCCCCGCCTCTCTTCCCCACCCGGTGACTGACGCTGCGCTGTGCTGAACGGTTCAGCCTGAACCTTTCCCCTACGTCTGAACGTTCCCCACTCCTCTGTCAATCGAACCATGCCACCGCTTACGCATTATCGCTCGCCCACCCAGGTACCAGGGTACCTAGCGGCCAGCAGTCAGTTGATGATAAATCTCGCTCATGCTCCCACGCAGCTACGCATAGATTACGCCAGCTAATTATTTTCCGAATAATTAGAATTTCTTTGATAGTAATTTACTTTATTTATTTGACTGTACATTTTCTCTGCTTTACTGTGTTTTTCTTAAATCTGTTTTTATTTTATCTTGCTAATTCTCACACGCAGCTGAGCTCAGCCCTGGTAAAAATGATCAGTTGACGGTGTATCAGTTTGTCAACGGTGTTTTGGCGCGGAGCATCAGTAGACATCAATTGAGATCGGGTCAGTTGATGGCTTCAACTGATCTAAACTGATAGGTGGTGGCAGTTCGAAGTATCAACAGATCTGAAATGATACTTGGTATCAGTTGGTACCATGTATCAACTGATAAGACATAAATTAAAAACGCACTATCTGCTTGTGTAATTTTACGTATTTATTCAGTTTCTCACGTTTATCTCACGATTTGACGACCAGAGAGCGCTGCTGGGAATTACCGTTCTCGTATTTCTGACACGAGGCTTAGCAGGCAGCGCTCATTCCCAAACGGTCTCCCATCTAAGTACTAACTACGCTCGGCGTTGCTTAACTCAGGTGATCGTCCAAGAGACAGAGCCACTACTCCATCCGCGCATGCGATCAAAATAGACGTATTTTTGCCATTTCAGGGCCCCCGCTAGAATCAATTTGACAGAGAGTGATGATTTTGTGTTGAATTTGAATCTACACTTAATTTTTTCATTTTATTTTTTAATCACTTAAAATGTAAGTGAAGTTTTACAAGTTATGTTTTCCTTAAAGATGAGACTAAGAAACACAAAATGCGAAACCAAAAATAATAATTAAAGATGTAAAAGAAGATGAAATGATGAAAAATCAATAATCAACTTATAAGAACTTGAAAATAATCATGACAAAAATTTGAAAACAAATAATTAAATCTTTATTGCGGGAGGGTCAAACAAATTCATTTACATATTTATATGAATTTAATGTGAAAAAAATAATTGATCAAGGTAATTTTATGTGTTTTCGTCACATTCTTTTCGTATAATTTTTATGTGTAAATTATGGAAAAAAATATCTTCGAGTGGTGAGCGTTGAAGAAATTAATATGTCTTTATATGAATTTTCAGTTAAGAAAAAAAATGATCGAGATAATTTTTATGTGTTTTTGCCACGTTCTTTTTGTGTAGTGGTAAAATTATGTTTAAAAAAAGGCTCAAGTTGTCGCCGGTAAGGAAATCATTTACTTAAATTTATGTAAATTTTATATGAAAAATGTTTAGTCTCCTCGAAATCACATCTTTTTTTCTTTTTACATTTTTTGATATGAATTTGAAGTGAAATTCATGTAAACACTTGA